TACATTTGTAGTTGAGTGTGGGCGGGGCTCGTATCTCATTATTATCTGAGTATAGATATCAGTTAGATTATTGGATTGTTGTACTTGTTTTCTGTGTGATACATGTATGTGTTTTTAGGAATGTGAGTGTGGGTGGTGCCCGTATCTCATAGTAGCTGAGTGTGGGCAAGGACCGTATCTCATAGATAGCTGATACGGTACAAATTTATATGCTTAGTGATACTTGTTGTTTGTATAGTACTTGTGTATATTTTATGGTGGGCTGGGCCCGTATCTCCTAGTTAGAAGAGTGTGGGTGGGGCCCGTATCTCCTAGTGAGTGGAGTGTGGATGGGGCCCGTATCTCCTAGTCAACAGAGTGTGGGCGGGGCTCGTATCTACTTGAGTGTAGGCAGGGCCCATATCTCTTAGTAGCATGATTATGTGTATGGTATATGGTAGTTTGGGGAGACTCACTAAGCTTCGTGCTTACAGTTTTCAATTTTGGTTTCAGGTAATTTGGTTTTCAAGAAGAGCTCGGGATGATTGCAATGTACACACCATCTATTCAGCCTGTGATGTTATTACTCTGATATTTTTGACAGTTGTTATGATATTTTCAAATACACTGTTTATGATATTTATATGATGTTCGATGTTTATGGTTTTATTATTAAATCAAAATGAAATTTTTAGACTGTATTTTTAGGGTGTTACACTAGATCAGTTGTCGGCCTTCGAGACTTTGAGATAGAGACTATGCGAGGCCCCAATTTTAGCACTACCCCAAGGGGTTGGATGATTTGGCGGTATATTGTAATGTGTCTATAATAGGGTTAGCCAGTTAGGTGTTGTCTTGATGCAGAGGGGGCATGTCATTGCATACGCCTCGAGGCAGCTAAAGCCTCATGAGCCGAACTACCCCACTCACGACCTGTAATTGGGGGCGGTGGCATTTGCCCTCAAAATCCGGAGGCTTTACTTGTACGGAGTCCAGTGCATTATTTTTACTAACCATAAAAGTTTGAAGTATTTGATGGATCAGCAGAACCTCAACATGTAGCAGAGGAGGTGGTTGGATGTACTAAAAGATTACGATTGCGAGATTTTGTACCATCCAGGGAAGGCCAACGTGGTGGCCGATGCCTTGAGTCACAAAGTGGCGTGTGCTCCAATTGAAGATGTTTGTTTGAGGATGATGGTGATTTCCCCCTTGTTGGATATGATCAAGGAGGCTCAGGTGGAGGGTTTAAAGAAAGAGAACTAGAAGATAGAGTAGAATCAGCCTCAGATTCCCTTGCTTGTTCGGGATGGTCAGAGTCTATTAACACAACGTGGCTGGGTGTAGGTACCGGTATATGGGGGTGTGAGGCAGAAGATCTCGGAGGAGGCATACAATCTTGGAGGAGGCACACAAATGCAAGCTCTCTATTCATCCGGGGGCCACAAAGATGTATAGGGATCTGAGGTTGAGTTATTGGTGACCCTACATGAAGCGGTAGGATGCATGGTTCGTGAAGCGGTGCTTGACCTGTAGAAAGGTCAAGGCTGAACATCAAAGGCCTCATGGAAAGGTTTACACACTATCCATTCCCATGTGGAAATAGGAAGAGATCACCATGGACTTCATCACGAAGTTATCGAGGATGACGAGGGGTGTGGATTCCATTTGGGTCATTATGGACAGTTTAATGAAGAGTACCCATTTTATTCTGATCCTCGAGAGTATTTCTGTTGAGAAATTAGTAGATATCTATGTGAGAGAGGCGATGGTCAGGCACGGAGTACCAGTATCGGTGGTCTCGGACCGCGATGTTCGATTCACCTCCAGATTTCGAAGGAAGTTCCACGAGGAGCTGGGCACACAGTTACACTTTAGCACTGTGTACCACCCCCAAAAGGATAGCCAATGTGAGAATACGATCTAGACGCTCAATGATATGCTACGTGGATGCGTATTGGATTTCGGAGGGAGTTGGGATATATACCTCCCACTAGTAGAGTTTTCATATAACAATAGTAATCATGCTAGTATCGACCGACCCCCGTTTGAGATGCTGTATGGTCAGAGGTGCAAGACTCTCGTATGTTGGGGGAGGTTGCGCACCGAGTCATGGGAAGCACCGAGGTGGTGCTCAGGACCACCGAATTGATTCAGCAGGTGCGCGATAGTCTGCGGGTTACGCAGAGCCGACAAAAAAGAAATGTTGATCGATGTCGCTCGAATCTCGAGTTCTGGAAGGAGATTTTGTTTTGCTGAAAGTGTCACCATGGATGGGTGTCATTAGATTTCGGAAGAGAGGCAAGATAGGGCCCCGGTTTATTGGATCTTTTAGGATTTCTACCCAGGTGGGCATGGTAGCTTATCGATTAGACCTACCAGATGAGTTGATTCAGATTCATAACACCTTCCATGTGTCCTAGCTTCGAAAGTGTGTAACTGATGAGGCTGCAATGACCTATTTGGACGACATACAGGTAGATTAGAGCCTGAACTACATTGAGAAACACACACTACTAGAAAACAACTCTTTAATGACGCGCAAACAATGACATGCGGTGATTTACGATACGCAAAAGCATGTGCCCTAAAAATAATGTCATATCTTCAAAATTTGAAGGATATAAGACACACTTTTGTGCGTGCCCTAAAATTATTGTCCAACAAAAAAAATTAAAAACACGGAGGGCACCGATTTAAAAATGGGTGTCGTCTAGGAATGTCGCTTTATATTTTTTTATTGAAAGGCGCGCTCTCTTCTTTTGCAGCAGGGGGGAAACGAAAATGCCAAAAGTTTGAAAGGCCGCCATTTTTATCCTCTTCCTTATTTCCATCTTTCTTTTCTATCTCTCTCTCTATTTATCTCTATCTCTATCTCTCTCTCTCCCTCCCTCTCTCTCTCTCTCTATATATATATATATATATATATATATATATATATATATATATATATATATATATATATATATATATATATATATATATATATATATATATATATATATATATATATATATCACTCTAATACAATATCATCACCAATCCTATAATTTTTGTTGAATTTATTTAGTTATGCTATTGATGGGTTATACAGTCGCCGAAAGGGGGCTGACGATATCTTGCCTAATGGTTTCAAACACCCACCTGAGAGACAATTGTGTAATTAACGTAATTTTGTTCGGATTAAATGATTTCACAGCTACTCGAGTGTTACAACTCAATTGAGGAGTTTCTTTTTCCTTATAAGCCCCCAATTTCTGCTTGTTTTATAGAATGTAGTTATTGTAATCTACTCGGATGTTGATAAAACCATAATTCTACATCGATTACCCAGTGTAAGGGTTTTCTGTTCTTGTCTATGTGTGAAGATTTCTTACCTAATTTCTCCTTCTCGGTTTCATACCCGCCTTGATGCTACTAGCTTGGTTTTAGTTTCAGGTTTGTACCCGCTGTTCTCTGTCAACTCCGATCAAAACCCACCGGCCATCCACCCTCGATGTCATCTCCTTTGCCGGTCACCAAGAATCAGCAGATGCAGATAGCTGACAACAAGAAAAACACGAACAATAGAATCCCCACCCTATCAGACCGCTATACATCTCTGCTTCAAGATATCCCATCTCAATGAAAGTGATTCAGGCCTCACTCCTCTCTCATAGCGATTTAGGGTTTCTTGGTACAAGTTATCGACTAAGACACCGATGACTTAGGGTTTTTTCATAAATGTTGTGTATGTGCACTTCGATTGATCCAATGACGAATCCACAATGTTTGGTTTGGAAAATGTAAAACAGAGGTAACGTTTGTTTCTTTTTGAGTTCATACAGATGAGAGAATCACGTCATCTGTCGATTCTATCATCTCACAGCGTTGGTAGCCCCTTCAGGCGGTTTCTCTGGTCAGTGGCTCACTCCTTAACACTTAGGTACAATTTTCAACTGATTTCTTCTTCTTATACTGCTTCTGTCTTTTGTAAACACAATTTTGATTCATAAAATATCTGTTGTTCTTTCTACTCAATTTACAGTTACAGATTCTGCTCTTTCAGCTCACAATCGTAAGTGGTATACAGTTTCACTGAAGCCAAGTTCCCTGTAGTGAATATGATGGTTGTTATCATAACTTCATAATCACAAAAGCCAAACAAATTGTTATATTTTTACATATCTATTCAGGGCACAAGAATTGGGTTCTCTGTGTTGCAATGGTGAGAATTAGAAAACAGTTGATTTATTAGTTTTACATATTTATGCTTGCTTGTGCTTTGTTCAATGATTGGTGTATCCTAATAAATTCAAAAATATATTGAGCTTTGTAGTCGTCATCCAGAAATTAAGTGGGATCAGAGAGAGGATAAAGTCTATATCACAGTTTTATTGGCGGATACAAAAGATGCAAAAGTGAATCTTGCTCCTGAAGGTGTTTTTACATTATCTGCTTCAATTGGTTAGCATGAGTATGATCTTAAGCTTGAGATTTTTGACAAAGTTAATGTAGAGGTAAGCAACCATTTATATTCTAAATTACTTTATTATATCATTATGTCATTTTACTATATACTATATCTAGATTCAAATATATTCATATTTAAACTCCATTTATATTCTAAATTACTTTATTATATCATTCATTAGGCATGGAGGGTACCTAAAGTCTTGCGTCCTTTATATGATCTCCAACTGTTCTCGCTCAAAAAAACAACAATGATGGTAATACAACATTTTAAATCCATAACGTTTCCAAATATACCCTTATGTCATTTTACTTAATTAATAAAAAATTGAATATGTGACAGGCTTTACGCCAGCTAAGGCAAATCGCTCTAGAAGCTTCAAAAACCTCATTGATTTCAACATCTTCTGATTCTTGTGATTGCAGCTAAGATAATCAGGTATAAATATAATTATGGTCTTTCTTGTAATCTTTTGTACTTTATTCACATATTCTTGCGATTGCAGCTTGTTGAACATGTTGCTACATGCTTAATTAAAATAGCAGAAAGAGTACAAGAATCCAGTGAAATGCTTGATGAACTTTCTAAACACGGATTGATTCATCAAGTGGCATATCTTATAGACCTGATCAACCATACCACTCTATCTTATTTTGTTCATACTGTATGTCCATCTTCTTCTATTTTTAGCAATTTTTGTTTTTTTTTCCAATCTTTTCTAAGAACTCTTGTGTATTTTTATGTAGGGTTTAATTGGACTACTTGTTAAACTTGCTTCTGGTTCTATGGTGGTTGTGAAGACACTTTTTGATCTTAATATAAGTAGCATTTTGAAAGAGATCTTTTCAATATATGACCTTTCACATGGAGTCCCTTCCCCTCGAACAATTGATGGACATTATAATCAAATGCATGAAGTTTTGAAGTTGTTGATTCAGCTTCTACCCGTTGTATCCAGAAATCAAGAAGTTCCATTAGATGCAGAAAAAGAAGCTTTCTTGGTGACACATCCTGATCTTGTAGAGAAATTTGGGAATGATTTATTACATGTCTTGATCCAGGTTGGTTATCATTTGTCAATCATGTTGTATTGATTTCTTGCTAACTTTTACAATTTCCATGATATACCCTTTCTTTTCTTCTTATTTTTGAACAGGTTGTTGATTCTGGGGTGGATTTATATATCTGTTATGGGTGTCTATCTGTTGTTGACAAGTTACTTTATTACAGTAACTCTGATATGCTTATTGATTTGCTTAAAAGCACCAACATTTCAAGGGGACGTAATCTTGATTTCTTGATACTCAACTATACTTTTTTCTATCAAATTTCTCTTCAGTTTTAATGGTTTCATGTTGGTAATTTCTCAGGTCAATTGCTTATACAATCCAGAACTTAAAGCTGAATGGGATTTAGCCAAAATGGCCAATAAATAGAGATTAGCACAGTACATATCGAAAGTAACAGGCGAAACAATTGACCCAAATACCCTTTTTGACATTCACGTGAAGCGCATCCATGAATATAAAAGACAGGTGTTGTATACAGGAGAAGCATGAAGAATCCAAAGTGGCAATCTTGTAATTATGCATACATATCATTCTGCCTTCTAAATTTGGAACTAATAGTTTCTTTTTTTGTGTAAAAACAGATGAAAATATAGCATTATTGGGTGCAATACAATCTTTATTCGAGGGTTCAATGTACACTTTTGTGTTTCTATGGACACCTGCTTTAAGCCCAAATGGTGAAGACATTCCACATGGTTTCATTTTTGCTACTTTCATGTTATCTTCCATGTTAGGAAGCTCTTTAGCTTCTCGGTTATTAGCACACACACTGACATACATTGATATTGTGTTGTGTTGTGTGTGTGTGTGTATATATATATATATATGTATAAAATCAAGATTCACTTTCCACTCGGACAAAAATACTCTTCCGGATTGTTCTGAATTATTATGACCATTTTGCCCTCATAGGAATTTTGACATTAACATATATGCACACATTTCTTTTAGTGTTGATTTTGTCGAAGAGAAATGACAACAAAGAAGATAAGTATCTCTTGTTGTTTGTATATATACACTTTTTCTTCTTGTTTAATAACTTAAAAACTATTTAAATGTGAAAATTGAAGGTTCACACACTGTTAAAAGGATTGGAAAAGATAATTGCAAGTGCAGATATTCCAATGTTCGTCTGTGGTGACTTCATTTCAGTTCCAGGAAGGTATGTGTCATTTCTGCTACATTTGTTATGTGTGTTGTGTGGCCAACAAACATCTGTTTTTATTACTTTGGTGTATGTAATTATTGATCCACAGTAAGTCCATGGATTTACTGTGTTTTTGGATTGTCCTATAGGTGGCATCTCAGCTTCTGATTAATTTGGTGTACTATTTTGGCAGGTTGATCTCTAGGGCCTGCTAGAAGGATTGGATATTGCAGTTAAGCATCTATCTAAGACTTCACAACAAGGACTTGAGGAATATAAGTTAGCAATGTTTTACTTGATTTGGACATGAACAAGACTCAAGCAAAAGAAAGACTCATACTTTGGCATGGCTAGAAGCTTTGGAGGAAACAAGACTCAAGCAAAAGCAAACACACAGAGAGTTGTTAGCACATAGTAAGCTAGATAATGTGATTGTATATAAATTCTACATCTCTTGAGTTCATTTCCTTTATTACAATTACTCAATATTGGAACAATTATTTGTATTTGACATATTAGTGAAATGAATTATCTTTGTTATTTATGGTATTTTATTTTGTATTATGAGATTTTTAAGGTATTATTTAATTTGAAAATTAGTAAATCAATAATATATTTTTTTTTAACATTTAAAATTATGATACGCAAAAATGTGTGTCATCTTCATTTATGACATGGCCTTTCTTGACAGGGGCTTTCTTGATACGCATTGCGTGTCATTAACACGCGCGTCCTTGACGCGCATTTGCGCGTCGTCTGAGCCTTTTACGACGCGCAATGAGCATCGTAAAAGGCTGTTTTTCTAGTAGTTACATTGTGGTTTTGGATCAGAAGACTAAGGTTCTTCGTAACAAGGAGGTGAAGCTAGTGAAGGTGCAATAGCAGCACCGAAAAAGCTCCGAATGGATATGGAAACCAGGGGAAGAGATTTAGGAGCATTACCCAAATCTGTTTGCGTCTACGGACTTTGAGGACGAAGTCTAGTACAAGTGGGGGCGAGTTGTAACACTCTAAATCAGGTAAACCGTTCTAACCCCTTGAAATGATTTAATTTGGAAAAAATGTTCCCTTTGGTATGTTGGGCAAACCTAAGTGTAATCTTAGCGTACTATGGAGGAAGGATCGCGAAGGAATATTGAGTACGTAGGGCGTATATGTAGGTACGCGGGGCGTACGCGATAGAGGACCAAAACCCTAAAACCTGGACTTGAGATCTATTTATTCATCCTTAAGACACTTGGACCAAACCCTAATCAGCCTCTAGAGTCTCATTTATCCCTTTACCTTAGTTTTCCTTTAAGAATGTGATTTTGGAGCATAGAAGGGTATTGGTGGCCATTTTGGAGCTTAGTCAAGAATAAAAAGTTGGTAAGCAATCTTGGTGTGGCATTGGGCTTCAAGAACCTGCATCTAGTTCACCTTGAGGTGCTTCTGGAGGTATACAGTCTTAATCTTGCCATCTTATTCATTACTTTTGGTTAGGGTTTTCTATATTGTCCCTTTTGTTGGTTCTTGGATCTTCTCTTGAGAGTTTAGCAACTCCGGAGACTAAGATGGTTAGATATGAGCCTTGTGACCATGCTAGATACATAAAGGTGCTAGCTTGAGGGTTATCTAGACTCCATCCATGAGTTTGAAGTTTTATATGAAGTCCTAATGTGAAGAATGAAGTTTTGAAGTCCCTTATAGCATGCAAGGGCATAAAGTTGCCAAATTTATGCCCTGGGACATCTTAATGAGCTTGGATCTGATATTGGGCGTTAGAATATCAAATATTAGGCACTTAATGGAAGTGATGCTTAATCTGCTTGTACATTGGTCGTAATATAGCGTACGCAACGTGTACAATCAAGGACTCTGTACGCTAAACGTACTGAAGTTGTACGCTTGGCGTACACACCCCAGTTGGTTTTGGGTTTCGTGTAGGCTTGTAAACTCTTTGGGACTTAATATGGTTTGGGCCTAGTCATACTTTGAGTTAGTGGTCCGATTAATCTGTTTTGGGCCATGGTTGTCTTGGTTGTGCCTTACTAGGCCATGTGGCCCATTGATAGTTTGGATATGGACTTTGGGCCCATTAGCAAGGGAAGAATCTTTTGCCATTATGAAAAGACTTGGACTTGGGTAATTGGGTTCTTTATCTAGATTATATTCAATCTTAATTTTTGGGTTAATGGTATTATTGTTCATCGCGGGTGGTTTCAGACTGCGAGGAACTTTCGTGTTCAACAGACTAAGGTGAGTCTCCTCACCATACCAATGGGTTGAATGCACCAAGGACGACCCATTATGTGTTATGTAGAATGCTAGTTGATTACATGATATGTAATATGCTAGTTGTCCTTGTGATACTCGCATAGAAGACCCCGGGGGGGTTCTCATGGTAGTGGACTAAGACCATGTGGGGGTTCCCATGGCATTCGGTGTAAGATATTAGAGGGTTTCCATGACATCCTAGTATGTTTGCATGTTTAGTTTGTATGACATTTTTGTGGTTAGCTAAGACCATGTGGGGGTTCCCATGGCAGTTAGGGAAGACCATTTGGGGTTTCCCGTGTCATGTAGTTAAGACCACGTGAGGGTTCCAGTAGCAACCGGAGTAAGACCTTTGAGGGTTTCTATGGCATCCTTATATGTTTATATGCATGACTTATGTAACTTATATGGCTGATATGGCTTATGTGATTATGTGGATTGTGTGGGGTATGTTATGGGAAACTCATTAAGCGTTAGCTTATAGTTTGTTGGTTGTTTCAATTACTTCAGGATCTAAGGGGAAGAACCCGACGTAATGGTGCGGCATGCACTCTCCCACAATTTATTTGGGGACACTCTAATATTATGAATAAAATGTTTGATGTCATGGATATTGAAAACAAATGTGATTGGAGTTTTATATTGTATGGAAATGATTTTGATACTTAAAAATGAAAAATTTTATTGCAAATTTGGGCTATTACACAGAGTATTAGTAGGGTCAGGAGGGGTTGTGCCCCCCTCCTCCTCCCCCCCCCCCCCCCCCCCCGATATTTGATGAGTTTTATGCATACGAACAATCCTATGTGCTCATACAAACCCTAATGCTTGGATCTATGTTTCTCAATTGTACATGCTTTGAATCCAAGACTTGCAACCCTAGATCTATCATATAAAATTCGAAATCAACATCATAAGAATAAATCTAAGTGTTTACCTCTTTCAAATAGCTTGAAATCCTTGTAGTCTTCTTGATCTTGAGCTTAGAGTCACAATTGTAACTCCTCTAATGGTTCACAAACCCCACAAGCAAGAAGGCAGTATGAGAGAGGGTGAGAGATGCTAAAATCGGCCCTAGGGTTCTCTTGGAATCAACTATAGTTACGGGATTAGACACTAATCCAACAGTCTCCCACTTGGATAAGTCTAGTAACTATATCTCACATATGACTTCAGGATCCGATTAGCAATCTTAGCTCTTATACGTCGCTGTCAACTATGATCAGTAACTTGTCCTTCAGATAAGGGATCGTATAATCCTCTATTTTAGATATCATGCTAACAATACTTATTGTCCAACACTTGTTTCTCGATCTACGATTTGTTCGACATAAAATTCAGTTGAACACATCAACTCCATACTGACCGGACCCGACACATAAGTCAAACAAAATCATCAAGTGGCCAATATATCACCTTTATTCTCATAGAATAAAAGGAACAGATTAACCTCCAATCATATGCATATATTGTTCATCAATTAAATCAAGCACAACAATGTGTTTTATAACATCAAGTTACTAATGTGTTTACACATCATCAACGCATAACCAATCAGTAAACAATAACCATATCTCTAAGTTTTAAGACTATATGATATTATCTCTTTGCAATCACATTAGGTAAAACACCACGAAGTGATACCAACAGACGCGGGTTCATTTCAATGCTCAAATCATATTCATAAGCACTCGTGATCTTTGCAGCAAACCTTTGCTATGCCCAAAACCTTTTAGACAATCTACAAACAATTCATGACAGTTTTCATTCACACCTACTTCCAAAATATGAACGACTGTGGACTGTTCGAATAATCTTATTATTCAGGAAGTCAAAACATGAAAAATAGAAACAATAGATAAATAACCAACACAAGATAGTAGTTTTACTCATAAATAACACAACTTTATTTATTCATCAAAATGTCAAGTACAAAATATCTATTACACGTTTCTTATATAATCTAAACTTATATCATCCTTCAGCCCAATGCTCCTAGCGTGCTGCAAGTGTTTGACCCTACTCAGTCCCTTCGTAAGGGGATCTGCTGGGTTTTCTTCTGACGATACCCTCTTCACAACGAGGAGTCCCTCTTCTACCCGATGTCTGATAAAGTGGTATTTTCTGTCGATATGTCGAGATCTACCATGATCTCTCGGTTCCTTGGTTAAGGCAACCGCTCCTTCATTATCACAGAAAATTTCCATCGACTCCTTTATGGATGGCATAACTCCAAGGTCTCCAATGAAGTTCTTCAACCATATAGCCTCCTTTGACGCTTCACTCACCGCAATGTACTCTGATTCGCACGTTGAATCAGTTACAGTCTCCTGCTTGGAACTTTTCCAAGTCACTGCTCCTCCATTTAGGGTAAAGACCCAGCCCGACTGCGATCGGTAACTATCCCGATCCGTCTGAAAACTAGTGTCACTATACCATCGTACCCTTAAGTCATCACTCCCACCGAGGACTAGGAACCATTCCTTGGTCCTTCGCAGGTACTTAAGAATATTCTTAACTGCAATCCAATGAGATCTACCAAGATTCCCTTGATATCTACTGACTATGCACAAAGCGAAGGCCACATCAGGGCGAGTATAAGTCATACCGTACATGATAGAGCCTACTACGGAAGCGTAAGGTACTTGGCTCATATCAGCTATCTCTGCCTCTATACACGGGCTTTGAGTCTTACTCAACTTCGTATTGCTTTGGATTGGCAACTTCCCTTTCTTGGAATTTTCCATACTAAAACGCTTTAGTACCTTATCCAAGTATGTATCCTGACTGAGTCCTATCAGTCTCTTTTCCCTGTTTCTTACTATCCTTATTCCCAGAATATAAGCAGCCTCTCCGAGGTCCTTCATAGCGAAACATTTCCCAAGCCAGTACTTGACCTCCTGCAAAGTTGGGACATCGTTTCCTATGAATAGTATGTCATCAACGTACAATACGAGGAAGCTCACTATACTCCCACTGACTTTGACATATACACAAGATTCATCTTTGCTTCGCAGAAAGCCAAACTCTTTAACTTTCTCATCAAAACAAAATTCCATCTGCGAGATGCTTGCTTCAATCCATAAATGGATTTCTCAAGCTTACACACTCTATTTGGATGCTTCGCATCGACAAAACCCTATGGCTGATTCATGTACACATCCTCAGCCAACTTCCCATTAAGGAAAGCAGTTTTCACGTCCATCTGTTAGATTTCATAATCATGAAACGTAGCTATTGCAAGCATTACCCTAATAGATTTTATCTTCACAACTGGTGAGAAGGTCTCATCA